TATAATCAATCAAATGCATATGTACTGTATGTAGAATAGGTTAAATTACAGGATAATATTTACTATATTTTCACTAAACCTCCAAATGACACAACAGATTCAGCAAATGGAAAAGAACAATTAATCAATAAAGCTTTAGTGCCGCAAAGAATAAGAAAGTGTGTGAAAGTGTCTCAAATGTGCATATTTGTTAAAAACAGGCTTGTTGTCATTAAAGGAAGTAACTCATGATGAATGGAGGACAAGGAAATTTGCCTCAGGCAAGTGTAATGATACTCTATCATAATTTTACCCAAGTATAATTACAATGCTGTAAAACTACTCCTTAAAGCAGATATTTTATCAAAACTTACTAAAGTAAATGTAACTAGTTAGTACCCACCTCTGGTTACAAAGTAACTTAAAGGCATACTATGCAACATTTTTCAGTTAATTAATGTGTTCCATAACGTTTTGGATGATTAAATGAGTCATTTCAGGTCAAACAAAGGTTTTCTCCGCCGCCCTGGTGGTCTGTAGGGGAAATACCGTACTTGCAATTGCAGGAGTCCTCGGCCCGCACCCACAGGCTCAGAAGTCTCGTGCATCGCGAGAGTCGGTCTTGCTTTACGGCGAAACCTTGGCTAACTATAATCTTTGTTATTTAGATACATGCATAACAACATAATGTATGAAAACATGCTAAATTTTTAAACTCGAAAATGTGAACAAAATAGTCACTTACCGCAGTAGACATGGTGATTGGTTGCGTTCGCCTGTCTGCTAAGTTCAAAACAACCGCGCCTGGCTTGACGGAGAAACCAGGAGAACAGCTGAGCATATTTACGACAGTGCACTTTTACTTTCGCCCTCTGGGGGGAGCCTCGCTGGAAAATCAACACTGGTTGCATAGTATACCTTTAATCCAGCATTTTTCGCTATTCTGATGTTGGGTTTGAAGTGCATCAGATCATCTTCACCATTTCTATGTGCTTAAATGCAATGAGTTGCTGACTAGTTGCTGCTAGTTGGAAGGGTGTGCCTAATAAAGTGGCCAGTGAGTTCACATTTTGATATATTTTTAGGCAATTTGACAATCCAGGGATGACATCAATGAAGGTTGTTATATGCGTCTGGGGACGGTCCCGACCTCCACTTTGGGAACCTCTGCGTTAGAGGATGACTGGGAGCTGCTTGAAAGTTGTTGTTCATGAAATGCTGCAGAAAATATCCCCTTTAGACTTCTTACTAGAGACGTCTAAAGCTGATATTGATATTAGGAATCGGTCGACTTGCATGAAAAATCTCTGATATATGCTCACTGATAGAAGCAATCTGCAGCGTTCCGCTCTTGGATCCCGAAAAGATCCAATGTGAACACAACAGTGTCTGTTAGCGGAGTAGAAGATGCTATCCTACCGGAGGAGGAGCTATGTCTATCTATATTTTATTTTATATCTAAATCTTAAGTTTATGTTGAGGTTGTTTCATAACAAATGGGTGAGTTGTTGTCTTACATGTTTTTGTAACTAAAAGGTAAAATCACTCAATCAGGCGTTTTTCTAACTCTTCCAGCTGATGACGTATTGAATTAATATCAGGACACCCTTCCTTGTTGCAGGTTTTCCTCATGCATTCCGTCCTCCATTCTCTTTGATTAGCTTCTCTATATTATTTGAACAGCTAAAGAAAATATCCCACAGCATGAGGCTGCCATCACTGTACTTCACTGCATTCATACTGATATTGAAGAGTACAGAAGCAGAATCGAATTACTTATTAATTGGCCCCTGAAAGCAATAGAATAAAATTCAACTTTATTTTCATTACATTGTCACAAGTACAATCATTTTTATTTATTTTATTTAACCTTTATTTTACCAGGAAGTCCCTTGAGATAAAATCTCTCTTTCGAGGGAGACCTGGCCAAGGGGCAGCAGTACAATAAGACATCAACGAAAATCACTCTCTACATTTAAGACATCCCATTGGTGAGCAGTGGGCTGCCATTCTGAGACACCCAGGAAGCAGTGTTGGGTTAAGGGTCTTGCTCAGGGACCCAGAGTGAAGGCTGTGGAAGTGGGACTTGAACTCAAGACCTCTGAGACCCAAGCGACCCAAGGCCGCCAATCCCTATCTAGAATAGAATAAAAAAATCCCTTTATTGGGGAATTTTTATGGTGTAACACCTTCAAAGACAAGCATTAGAGTAAAAGGATCACACAAGTGTAGACACTAAATAAAAAAAACTAATAAAAATACAAATACTATACCATAAGACCAAAAATAAGTTTTGAAAAAAAAAAACGCTGATCAGGCAATAAAAAAGAATGAATAAGCAACATATACAGCTTTGGACATTTTTACAGGAAGTGGATATAATCATAGCAGCAACACCTGAGGTGTGAAAAAATAGCAGCAGAGTTTTATATAAAGGGACCAAAAGAAAAGAAAAACTGTTAAATGTAAACCCATATTTAGCTTAATGGGAATGGTGATGTTATGAAGTCTCATATGGGAGGGAGAATCTGTGATAACGCTCCCTGGTGCATTTAAGGTGCAGCAGTCTGTCACTGAAGGAGCTCATCTTTTTCTAGTTAGACTCCATTTATTGCACTGAGTCCAGAGGGCATCCAAGCTCAGTCAGCCATTGTGATGAGCTTATTCAACCGTTTCATCTCAGCCACAGATAACCCGCTGATCCAACACAGCAAAGAATGGCTGATGCCACAGCAGAGTCAAAGCAGGTTGGGCTTGATTTAATTGAGGGGTATCACAGTGATGAAGGCTGAAAGCAAATAAACTCCAACTTTTTCAGACAAAAAAAATACTTAGTATTCTATTTTTTATTTTATTTTTTTACTTTGAAATTATGTGCTTGTTTGTGTTGATGTAAAATTCCAATAAAACACTTAAATTGATGAATGTATATTGCTCTTAAGCTGCTGATATAAATATAAAAGATATGAAACTAGCGACAGGCACAATTAAACTGATCTAATTATTACACTGGATTTTTACCCACAGAGTTTTGGTCAAGAGCTATTATCTCTCACATCTCTTAGCTGAAGGCATTTGCATTTTTACACCAGCTTATTTGATTTGTAGGAAGCACATTCATTTACTATTTCCGTCTCTAGCCGTGTAAACCGACGTATTTTCAGACTGTTGCTTGGTTACTTTTTTCTGTTTTAGTTTCACAACTTATGGAAATCTGATGGCCATCTATTACTTTTAAAGAATTCATTTCGAAGAATTTTTTTTTTTTTATATTGGAGTCACACCATAGGAAAATGATGATGTTGTTACAGCTGTCCTAAAGAACACTTTACAGCTAAAACTCAGCGTTTTATGACGGCTTCCTGTGAACAATATGCTTCTGAGAAATGTAGAGGCTTCAAAAACACAAATGTTTAAATAAATACATCAGAAATATTTTGGTAAAATGTTTCAGTCATCTTGTTTGTTAAGTAGACTACATTGATCAGGAGCTCCTTTAACTTTTGTGGCTTAAATGAAGAAACTGTTAAACAACTGTTTTCTGGATAATTGGATAATTTTAAATTGGAAAGAGACTTTTTTTTGTGCTTAACTTGTTTTATTTTCGGAAAAATTTCCCCATTAATAAGGGGAATTTTCGATCTGTGTCCTATTTTTATAATAGCTATCTCAATACAGCACTTTCATCAATGATCTTGAAAACTCAAAGGCTTTAAAAACTAAAGAAGAGGATTAGTGCCACTAAAAAAAAAAAAAAAAATTAACTGATTTTTAAATATTGTTTCAGTTTAATATGGGAAAAAAGTCGGAATTCTGACTTTAACCACAGAATTCTGACTTTAATCTCAAAATTCTGACTTTAATCTCAGAATTCTGACAGCTAACAAACATGTTAGCATCAAGCCGTAGCCATGTCTGTTTTAGAGACTAAACTAGCTCTCTTCTTTTGATCACCTTCTGCTCGTCCATTAATGAAATAGCATCAAATGGACCTGGTGAAAAGTCAGAGTTCTGAGAATAAAATTCAAAATTCTGAGAATAAAAGTCAGAATTCTGACTTTTTTCCCATATTACATTGAAATAATATTTAAAAATTAGTTAACTTTTTTTATTTTTTAGGTTTCCATAATCTTCTTCCATAGAATTCTGAGATTAAATTCAGAATTCTGACTTTTTCCCCCACATTAAACTGAAATAATATTTAAAAATCTGTTAACTTTCTTTTCTTTTTTTCCTATGGCCTTAGTCCTCTTCCATAATAAACAAAATGTATTACTTTGGAAAAGTTTTTGCAATGAGTGCTATATTTTTTTATTTTTACTGTATTTTTGGCCTATATACCACACATCATATACTTAGACTTCTTCCTCTTGTATACACAGAGTGTATAAAATACTAAATGGATTTTTTTTACAGCTCTCATAACATTTCCATTTCTTAAAGTGCATCAGTGATCAAATTTAAACATTTGGAGGAAGAAAAAACATGCAAAATTAAACAATTTAAACAATGATTTACAGTTTTCTCAACATTTAGCTGGTCTTTTTTTTTTCAATTTTAAGCTGAAAATATTGGGGGGGGGGGGGGGGGGGGGAACAAAAAAATAAAAAAATAAAAGATTTTGAAAAAAATAAACTCTTTTTTTAATACTTGTACCCCTGGCAAGTTTTATTTTGTAAATATGTATTTAATAAATGTAATATTTTAATAAATTTTAAATGTTTTATTTATATGTATATATATATATATATATATATATATATATATATATATATATATATATATATATATATATATATATATATATATATATATATATATATATATATATATATATATATATATATATATACAAAGCCACTCCAGGAAGTCGGCAGCTTTCCTAACTTTAAATGATCATTTTACGCACATTGACCTAAACCTGCATAATAAACTACAACTCCAACACTGCTGCGGGCTGTTTCGATGACGTGAACGTTTCATTTGCTGGCTGAAAGCTCTCCTGTCCGCCTGCTGGTGCGTTTGCGCCTCCTGTCTTAAAGAGGAGGTGAGGAATAGATTAGTTTCAGAGTTCAAGGTTTGGTTTCGCTGTTCCTCCCCCGGTGTGAAGGGCTTTTTTTTTTATTTTTCTCACCGAGGCATAAAGCCCCTTTTCACACAGTCAAGATGCTGAACATGTGGAAAGTACGGGAGCTGGTTGACAAAGCGTGAGTATATGTGGATAGTTTTCTATTTGTTTTGCTGTTATTTGTGTCTCTACCTGTTTGAAAGAGACACGTACTCAAAACTTTGACGTCACGTCACTCTTACAAGTGAGCTAGCTTGAACGCTGCTAGCCGTTAAAGTGACTTTTAGCTAAAGTTAGCCTCATTTTGACTGTTTGCTGTTTTTCATAGACTCTTTGGTCCATTTTAGTTGCGTCAACAGTGTTTGGGTGTAACTTGTCGTGTCGTTTCTTTTGCTTTCTTCGAAAGTGGAAGCTAACTTGTGTAGCTAACAGGCTAATTATGTAGCTGACTGGGCTAGCCAGCTAAGCTAGTTTGACAGCCCTGCAGAAAATCAATAGGGATTTTTAAAGACTTATCTCTCTCTCCTCTCCGTCGCTTTTTTATTTTGTCCTGACTGGAAACTTTAATTTTCGTTACTTTGTTTTATCGCATCTATAGTCGAGTTATATCACCGCCACAGTAGCAGTACTGTAAATTATGTCATAAAATAAGTACACAACCAACTCGCTTGTTGACGCTTGTTCCTAAAGTTAATCCATAAACAGTTCAGAGTTTTCTACTCCCTAAGAAGTATTCCAGAAGTAATTATTTCCTATATTTTATGTTAGTATTTAATAATCTCTTTATGCAAATAACTAGTTTCCTCTGAAATATAAGCTAAAGCTGTATTACTTAAACCATGGTAAAGCATGTAGCTTCAAAACTAATTCATTTGTTTTTTTTATACAGTCTTTACATTGATATAGTCTTAAGCCATAATAAATGTCCCTCCAAGAGAATTGGACAGTGTTTATTAACATACATAGATCAACCTAAACATATAGGAAAATAATCAAATATATTACCATAATTTAATCCTTGTTATAATACAATGTTTTTCCCATTTAGTTTAGAATAACAGTTTATAGCACAGTAATGGCATTACGGTATTGTCTCTCTATATTCTAATTTTAAAGTTGTAGGGAAGTTATATTTAAACATCAAGTCAATCTGGCTTAAACATGTATATAAACGTACTCTTTATCAGACCATATTGTCCCAAATATTTAGAAAATTTCTATTTAGAAAAAAAAAATCCTGTCTTAAAAATCTGTGGTTTTTTTCATTACTTTATGCAGGCCAATTAGTTATACGTCAGCATGAACACCTAAATTCAGCCAATCATATATCAACGGTCATCTGTCAATCACATTTTTTCAGTCATAGCATCTTGATTCATATGTCGCAGCTAATATACGCAACAGTTGAAATATTAAGAATCCTTTCCTTTCCCATTGAGTTCCGTCCCAGTGTTCACGGGGATGGACGTCTGTGTCTTCGGCAGGCGTAGAGCTAACAGTACTGGCAGCGTTGCGAGGCAAGGGCTCAAACATGTACGGCTGGAAGCCTTCTACACCAAACCAAGCTTCTGACGCCCTGGCGTCCTCTTCCACAACATCTTTATCCCTAGCCTGATAAACTGTAAATGTAAGATTAAATGTGTAATTTAGTCTGGCCCCGATGAATGAGACATCGGAAGATTGTTGATGAGAACAACCCGTTGTTTCTCTAACTATGTCTGCGCCTATTAACCAACGCTCTGACCAATGAACGCAACTGACTGTGACGTAGTAAGCGGGACAGAAAGCTGGTGGGGGAGTGTAAACAAACAGCCTGTCTGTAAACTGGCGAATACGTCCTTTTTAAAAATGAATGAGCATAGAGCCTCTTCCTGCTCATGTTTCAACGAAAACTCCAAGTCTAATCCTTCCAAAACTGATTCCAAAGCTGAGTCAAACGAGAACCGTTCAATAGTTGTTGCCGTCTTCCTCGTTGTGCTTTCTCCAGCGTTGCTCAGCTTTGTCGTCACGCCCTCAAAATCCCGCCCACTTTGTATCCAGAAATTCAAACACATCTCTGCGTTGTGATAGGCCCGTCAGTTCTAGGGCCTGGGGCATTGATCGAGGCTAGACCACTCGCAGAAAAAAATGATTTTAGCTGCTGGTGGATAGGGCTAGTTTCCTAGGCTACTTCGTACTCGCTTTCCTCCTCTAAATAAAAAATGGATGACTGAGGAGACTCATCCACGACCTCCAACTCTAAACTCTCCTCCTCTTGCATGTTTCCGCTGTCCATAGCGTTCCTTGACAGCGTCGTTTCTATGTCACCAATTTAGTGCTACTTGGTCCCAATGGAATTTCCCATAGGGAACCTACTAGCACTAAGTTGCTAACTGGTTAGCAAGATGCTTCCCACAAACCGGCCACAACCAAACGTGCTTGCGAGCCTTCCACCACAACAATCCCGCCCCCTTGATAAACGTCCAATCACATTCACTTTATTCACTCGCGTCGGGCACCACTAGAGAGAATTTGGAAATGCAACGTTTGGAACAGCTGCTTCCCTACGACTTTAAGCAAGGTGATTATTGTGGATGGATAGATTAAAAAATAATAATAGTTGTAGCATTTTCTGAGCGTAAATTTTTTCGTAATTAACTTTTCTAAGTTTTAAAATTAAATAATTGACCCAAAAATCAGCAATAATTGTGAGATTATCTCATGAAATGTCTAAATAAAGGGAATTTTATTTTTCTTTGGTCTTGCAACCTTACTATATGTTAGCTAATTGGATTGAAACTGTCCTACTCAATCAGGTAGTCTCATTTGCTTGTGCAGATTGTGACAGTTTCACAATTAATAACGTCTACCCAGAATGTTTTTTCTTTGCGGGTAAGAAGAAAACTGGAAATATGCTTTGTTGTTCCTATGAAGAAATAAAAAAAATCGTAAATTTCCATTAGAAATGACCGGTTATAAAGAAACTGATCTAATTTCACAAATGAAGCTATATGTTCTCTCAAAGTCCTTTGACTTATGAAGGATCTTTCTAGAAAGGCATGTTCCTAAAGGCTGAATTCAATTGAGTTTTCCTTATTTATTTTTTATGGGTTTTATAGACGGTTGAAATAATCATCTAATAAACACTGTTTTAATAAATAAATCTCCACTTTTATAAAAGGATGTATAAAAAAAAAAATCCTATGAGTTACTACAGCATTTAATTTCTCTTTGGGAATCAATAAAGTTTTTCTGAATTGAATTAAAAATCAAACACTATATGACTGGTATGTTTCTTTCATTTTTATTAGTGATATAGAAAAAAGAAGAATCAACACCATGCAAAAATGTTGAGGTGCAGATTCATCCGATCACATAATGACTGATCAGAGACCTGCAGAAAAAAAATGGTTGCTTTTAAACAATGTTAGTAACAGAAATTAAAGCATGTTTTTTTTTTATCACTTTCTAAAAATGTCAAAGCAATTTAATGTGCATTAACTGATTTATTTTAGAGCATTTCCAACTGATAAGCAGCTGCTTTTTTTTTTTTGCAGCCCCTTAGTGAACATCTAGCTGGTTTCTTAAACAGGAAATTGTTGATTCGAGTATTTTGGTTTAATTTGCCAAGTAGGTAATTTCTTAACTGCAAAGCAAGGTATTAAAGCATTTAAAGAAAATGTACTGTAAGACCTTTGTGTTTGTTTTTTGACAGGTTAATAGCAGCTCCAATTCAGCTGTTTGACTTTTGGCTTGCTAGCACTAATGTTGGGCAATATCTCGTTGTTTTTAGCTGCTTCCTGAACAAAGGATGCAGTGCTGTCCTGAACTGCGAGCTGTATTAGGGTATTGTGCAACATTTCCCCTCTTCAAAGGTTTAATTTAGCAAACCCAGACAATAGAACGTCATTGAGCCAACTGAAGACTTTATTCTGTGGATGCATCCACCCTCCTGGAGTGGAAACTCTTGTAATAAATCTTGTTTTGTTAGTGGGAGTCAGGAAAGACGAGCTGGAAGGGAAAGAGAGGTGAAAGTTTTATTAATTGGTGTTTGTTAAAATCAATTTTCTTTGATGTTTTTTTTTTCTCTCCCATTTAAGAAAACGTCGTTAGAAGTGTTTCCCTATGTAAATCCTTTAAACGAACAGAAATTGCACCAAAAAGCAGCCAAACTTTGTTAAGTAGACATTTGAAATTCAAAAGATTCAAATTCACTAAAGTTTTGAAGTAACGTTCGACTCTGTGCTAGAGAAGCGGAAATTTGCGTGATGGTGTGTCATCCTGGAAGCATCATGACATGTGTTTGATCTCGCAGATAGCAAAGGAGGCCAGCCACCTCTGTGGAGAGATAAAAAAAAAAAAACGTTGCATCAGACTTTTCTGGTGTTTTTTCTTTTTCTTTTTTAACACAATCTAATTGTTTTTATTCGTTAGAGAACATCTGAAAAATGTTTAACTGATCGGGAAAAAAAACATTTGGATTGTTACAGTTTTTATTAATATCATCTATAGCATGTTTGCTTGTTTTATAAACTGATTTGAATAAATTGTTAAATGCGGAATTAGTTTTTTTTTTAGTTTTATGGATGGTGCAGTTTTAGTTTATTCACTATATTGATTTGTGATCAAAATCCTTCCAATAATTTTCTCCCCCTTTTGTAAGAAAAAGTAATGGCTGTCTGTCAAATAGCGGTCCACAACCTTTTTTGCACCACTGACCGCCCTTTAAAGTGTGGGGGTAAATACGATCAAATAAAATGATACGACGGGTCAATGCATTATTACTCTTTGCACCGTTGTTCATGTGATGAGATCCCCTGTTATTCCTGATAATTCACTGAACATTTTAGTTCTTTTGGCTACCTTTATTAAAGGTGTTTGCATCATGTCTTATACAGGCTCCTTAGACCCAAAGCTGAATTTCAAATATTTATTCGGAGGGAAGATTAAAGGAATAGTACACCCAAAACATGATTAGCCTTCATTTTCTACTCACCCCCATGCTGAACAACACTCTGGAGTACTTTTTTGATATCTCAAATGCATCTGGAGATCTGGGAGGCTTCTTGCAACCCAGTCTCATGGGAAAATGTACCCCTACTATGTTGGTCCACACTGCAAAACGTAGTGGAGGTACATTAATGGCCATTTTTTTGTGGT